ATGGATCGTAATCACTTTCTGAAACTAAACCGGGTAATATTATTGCTATCTGTTTCTTTGTTCAACTTTAATGTTTCTATGTTCTAATTGCAATTCTATTGAAATAGAGTAACATATTATAACCTTTTGTAAACTTATGGGTGATACTCCATCATATAATTGGTGAGTTAATAAAATGATATTCTTATACAATCATAATATGCAATCATAATTTGTTCACATATGTATATTCTTTTTTTTTTTTACAGTATGGGTTGTCATTAGGAGGATTGCTAGGTTACCTAGATGGATTGGTGTCAAACTATGAAGAATTAGTTCTTTGTTGGCAAACCTCGATACGGAATGAGCTGGATGGGTCGCTCTTAAAACGACTTGAATGGTGTGAGGCTGGCGCTTGACTTGGTGTAGGAATATTACTTGATTTCTAATTTTATATTTATGTTTTAGCATTTCAATTTATTGTTTTAGAAATATTAGGATTTCTTATTTAACTTTTCTCGTAGAATTATGATTAGCTTATTATAAATAATGTTGTTTCAAGTTCTTTATGAACAGTTTATGTTGTTTATAAAATAATATATTTACATGTTCGCAGGCTACTGCTCACTCTTTATCCATTATTGAATTATTTTGATGATAATTTCTAATCTAAATTCCTGCCAACTTAAATTGGCAATTTTGTCAAATTAAAATTATATGTGTTAGATTTAATTCAATCACTTGATTTAATGATTTTGTTTGAACCACCATTGGGTAGCCCAATGATTAATTATGATTTTTGAACATATTATTTAAGAGGTTTTAAGTTCGATCCACTTGGATTGCTAATAAGAGTGGTCACTAAAGTGATTTACCTTATTATCAACTTCAGGGTTCCAAAGAATTAGTTAAAATGCGCATAAGCTAATCCGGACACTTCCGGTCACCCAAAAAAAAAAAAACCTACATACATGCTTCCCCAATTCAAAGAGAAGCAAGATTTTAAGCAAGATCATGGCCAAGACTGTTAAATGTACGTATCCAGTTTTTTGCACTCTTTCTTCATCCTCGTTCTAATTGCAAACTGGGGTGAGTGACATAAAGCAGTAGCCAAAACCCACAAAAGCAAAGAACCAGAACTTCAGACACAACTTTTAATACATTAATTCGAAGCAGCTTTTTAATTTACCATTATCCTTTCTTGTATGCACCTAGCTGTACAGGATTAGAACCAATGCATTTTCTTTTTAACAGGAACAGAACTTTGAATACATTTATAAACTTTATGTTCATAATTTTCTCTAATCTAGAACAGGGCGAAAACTGGTATTCTTTTTATCCGCTCATCCAGTCTTCAAGAAATCCCTTCACTGACTCCATTACTCATTGGCTTTTGACATCAATTCACACTCTCGTTACTCAGCCTAGAAACCTGTCTTGATGTATACAGATGAAATTATTTTTCATTGCTTATATGACGTAGTAATTTATAGACAGTTTTATGTAACGTAAAATAAAAAAGGAATAAGAGAAATGATTTGATTATGCTAATATGTGAGTAACCATTAAATCACAGTGTTCTTCTGTTATTCGAAACTTATATTGCCTTGTCATCTACAGTGGATGAATTTTTCACCACTTTCTCCCCATAAATATTGTTTTAAAACCCGACCCGTTGTGAGACCCGACAATGTGACAGGGTCACGGCCCAGGTTTTAAAACAGTGCTTATACAATTTGCGTACTTCTCCAAATGCAACCTTTTAATTTGGAGTATGTGAAGCAATGTAAGTGATTGACTTCGATAGTGATTATATTTATAAATACCAATAATCAAAGAAAGTGACAACACACTTAGAAAACCAGAGTATGACAAATTTTTAAACTAAGATTATCGAAACAAATTCAAAGCATAATTATCCATGACAAGAGATCAGTTATCCAACATCCAAATCTCTTTCAAGAAGGGCATAATCGAGCAAAGCTGCAATACAAACAGCGATAGCAGATAGCTTCCAAGAACAAAGGAAAAATCAAGTCTGGAATAGCACGAAAATACAGGGACCCTAAATCACCTTAGAACCACCAAATCTATGAGGAACTAAAGGATTCTCACTGCAAATGCAATACCTTTAAAATAAAAAATAAAAAATAAAAAATAAATAAGTAAATGAAAGAAAAAAAAGTGTACCCAACTCACAAAGTTTTTATTTCAATGTGCGTATAAAACCCCGCATCAATATATATGGCTCCACCAGCTGTGCCTGAAACATAATAGACAAAGATAAAACCTCATCTTCGAAATTCCCAGAATAGAAGACTATTTTAAGAACAAACTCAAGTAAATATATTATGAGATGGCCAATTAGGATATTTTCTTATGAGATGTACCCACAAATAACAAACAGAGAATCCGAATTTTAATACTGCAATGCAGTCATGCATGCCAACAACTTCATGGTCACGAAATCGATTGACCAGAGGAACTTAATGGAGGCTAGGAAAATTAGATGAGATACAGTGAATCACTGGTAAGAAATGGAGAATCATGTACTTGCCACAAAACTTGGCAATTGTTGCCTCGGAGGGACCAGAGTCCTTCAAGTTTAAGCGCTATAACGGCATTTTCGTTTCGATTTTCCGGTGAGGATCATAACCTGGAGGTACATCACTCTAAGAATCACTGTTGTCATTTTCCATTTTTGCCTAATTTTGCATCATACATGACTGTTCAATGGTGAGTAGTTATCTTTTAATGCAGGGGTTGATTGAGGAGGATAAATTGGACCAGTTCAATCTCCCCTGTTATGTACCTGCTGTTGAAGTTAAGCAGATGATTAGAACAGAAGGGTCTTTTAGCATCCGAAAATTTTAGATATTTACAGTGGATTGGGCTCCAAATGCAAATATAGATGTTGGTAAAAAAGTGAGGTTTGATAATCAAGAGTCCCAAGCGAACCATGAAGCTACCTAGAAATAATTGTTTTGTATGCATTAGTTGTGACTCTGAGAGTACTTGAGGATAAAATCATAAAAAAATTACCAGGACTCTGCAATGAATCCATTTCACACCAAGAAAATATGTATGATTTTCTGTCGTGTAAAATACTTGACCTCTTGTTTGGACCTTTTCAATCTGCCATATTATGCACCAACTGTTGAAGAAGTTAAGCAGATGATTAGAACAAAAGGGTCTTTTAGCATCCGAAAATTCAAGCTTTTTAACGTGGATTAGGATGCAAATGCGAATATAGAAGATGGTAAGAAAGAGAAGATTGATAAACTAACAAGAGGCAGGTATGTTGCAATGAACAGTAGTTGCAGAATCCATTTTTAACACTCACTTTGGGAAGGAGCTGATTGATGATTTGTTCGAGAGGTTTGCCAAGAAGGTAAGAGGAGCACTTGCAGGTGGAGTGGACAAAGGAGAATATACAAATATGGTCATTTCCTTTACTAAAACAATGCAATAAAATACAATTATAATCTGAAAGATAACAGAAGCTAATTAATGGAAATGGGTAATAATCATATTTAATCAATTTATATTCATTATTTTTTAAACTCTTTCTTTTGGCGACAATATTAAGACCAATGTTAGGGCAAAAATCATCTTGGACTGGACTTAACGAGACCCGATAACGAACTAAACATGTTACAGCTCAAGGCCTCAATCCAATCCCGATTGGGCCTATACTTAAAATCATCTTGTGAACTATCCACTCTATTAGTTGGGTTATCCTATAAGTTAAGCTAAACTGGGTTTCAGCCCATTAGCATGCAACAGTCCATAAATAAGAAATCAGAATCCCATTCTATTTCCTCTTCTACTAAGATTCTAAATCTTACGCAAACCATTAAACATAATCTGATAAGGTCAATAAATCATATTTCTTTCATGATAGAGATTATCTCCCAAAATAAGACTTAGTGTCCTACTAAGATTCTAAATCTTACTTAAACTATTAAACTTAAAGGTGAAGAAATCATATTTATTTCTTGATAGGGATTATCTCCCAAAATAGGACTTAGTGTCCTACTAAGATTCCAAATCTTACTTAAACTATTAAACTTAATTTGATAAGGTTAAGAAATCATATTTATTTCTTGATAGGGATTATCTCCCAAAATAGGACTTAGTGTCCTACTAAGATTCCAAATCTTACTTAAACTATTAAACTTAATATGATAAGGCCAAAAAATCATATTTCTTTCTTGATAGGGATTATCTTCCAAAAAAAAGGACTCAATGTCCTACTAGGATTCCAGCCCTTGGGTTCACTATAAAAACAGAGGCTTGCCCTCTTATTAGGCATGCAATCTCCCATAGTCAATCTACACTATTCAAAACCATCTATTTGCTCCTAAAGTTCTTGCTCCCAAGAACCCGACGCCTCTGACGTAGTCCTAGCTTCCGACAAAACTCCTAGTAATTCTTTATCTCCTTAATTATTATCAAATAATCTCTTTCAGCCTTGCTGATTTGAGCGTCAGAGTGCCTATAGCAAACACCACCCCGGTGTTTTTCGGAAGCTTCACGTTTGCTCTTTCATGTGTGCAGGTCCAACAGATTGTTAATGGTCTCGATCTCATGAGATCAGACCCTATTTTCATGACGACAGATATTTTGCATCTACAACCAACCACACAAGTAAAAAGATCCCATTCTTTGAGTCTTTATGACTAAGTGCCAATGACTAAGTGCCAAGAGCAATAATTTGATAACGGGATCCAATAACTAGAAAAATTTCCACAAAAAAATTCCACAAAGCTGTCGAGAGAACTCAGTGACCTCACTCTCGAGAATTGAGGGTGGATTGCACCATTCAACCAGTAACAACCGACATATAACACTTTGAATTGTGTAATCACGGGCCATCTTAGAGTTTCAGTTCAAGAAGAACTCTAATTGAACTGTAATACAGTCTTTCACTTTCTTATTTGTCATTCACTTAATTCCACATAAATTTGTCTTCTACCGTCTCATTTGCTCTTTCACTGCCACGACGGTAACCCCCAAACTGAAAAGAAACATGCCCTCCAGTACTACTGCCACCCAGATGCCATCTATCAAGACTATAGTTTCTGTTGCCGCCTCAGCAGCTGCCGCGGCGATGTTTGTTCCAACACTTGCACGTGACTATTTGCCTCACGAGGTACGAGATTACTTGTTCTTCAAAGTTAGAGATTTCATTGCACGCTTCTCTAATGAGTTTACTTTAGTCATTGAAGAATCTGATGATGGCTTTAATCTAAACAAACTCTTTAAAGCGGCAAAGTTTTATCTTGAATCGAAGATTCCCCCTCATGTGAGGAGAATCAAAATCAACCTGCCAAAAAAGGAGACCAAAATTTCACTCTCAATGGAAAAGAATGAAGAGATTGTTGATAAATTTAATGGGGTTCATTTGACATGGAGATTTATATCAAAGCAAGCCCCATCAAAGGTTGTCCGTGACCCACACCATTACGGGCCTACGGTTCAAAATGAAGTCAAGTTTTTTGAGCTGAGTTTTCACAAGAAACATAAAGATATGATCTTGGAGAATTATATTCCTCATATTTTGAAGAAATCTACAGAAATGATCGAGGAAGAGAAGACTTTGAAGCTTCATACTTTGAAACATGATCGGATGCATGGGATGGATGTGTGGCAATCAGTGAATCTTGACCATCCAGCAACTTTTGATACTTTGGCAATGGACTTGAATATAAAAAAAAGGATAATGGAGGATCTAGAGAGGTTTGTGAAGAGGAGAGAGTTTTATAAGAGAGTGGGGAAGGCATGGAAAAGAGGATACTTGTTGTTTGGTCCGCCCGGTACTGGGAAATCAAGCTTGATTGCGGCAATGGCAAATTATCTCAAGTTTGACATCTATGACTTGGAGTTGACTAGTCTTAGGGGGAATAGTGAGTTAAGGAGGCTGTTAATTACCACGGAGAATAAGTCCATCCTCGTTGTAGAGGACATTGATTGTTCAATTAGCCTTGCAGAGGCAAGGGCTACTTCAACGAATTCGGTAATGAATCCTAATCACCCTCCACATGGATTTAATCTAGTAAATCAGGTAATATTATTGCTATCTGTTTCTTTGTTCAAGTTAATGTTTCTTTAGTGTGATGTCTCTTGGTTGATCTATTGGTAAATTTAACTCTGCAATGTTCAAATTCATGTTTTAATTGCAATTATATTGAAATAGAGTGCCATTTTATATTTCAAGTCACAAACTTTGTTGTCTAGGTTTCCTGTATTTCTATTGAGAGTTCTGTAATAAATTCAGAAAATTTCACATTGGGGTACTTGGAAGGAGTTTGGGGGAAAACATATATGGCTCATACAAGACATGCCATTGGGAAATAGTACTCAATCAATTCAGAACTTAAAGCTCTGTTGCTTATTGATATTTGATAATTCTGCTTTCAAACAAGAGAATAGCTTATAGCCTTTGTGCGAGCACGTACATTTACAAGTGAATCATCTGTCAAGCATCAGTTCTCAAGCGAGATAATCAGTTACTCAACCTACAAATGTGATTATGGTTGTACCTTTATGGCTATTCTCATAGATAGATACTATACATTCTTAGTTCACATTTATTTTTTATCGATTTGGGGTGTATCTTTTCTTGAAACCTAAGCTTACTTGATGCAATGTCCAATTTTGTGTTGCAATCACAAAACTTGGTGTCAAGAATTCCTTTATTTTGAAAAGTTTAAAGTAACTTTGGAAAGTTTTGATGTTACTGGCCGAGAGAGGTTTTTTGCCCAGTAGTTGGGGTATCAACATGACTAGTTTATATAGGACAGACCATTTAGAAGGAAATGGTATTTGAGTTCTGATCAGTGGTAATCTAATAAATTGGATATTTGTTTAACTTATTGATATAGATTATAACCTTTTGTGAACGTATGAGTGATACTGTATCAAATAATTGGTGGGCTAGTAAAGTGCTACTCTTAGGCTATTTTTATAAATAGATGTTATACAATCATAATATGTTCACGTCATTTTTTTTTTTTTAAACAGTATCAGGTGACATTATCAGGACTGTTAAATTTCCTAGATGGATTGTGGTCAAGCTGTGGAGATGAGAGGATCATAGTGTTCACAACCAATCACAAACACAAACTTGACCCTGCATTGTTGCGCCCTGGTCGCATGGATGTGCATGTCCACNCAGAAACTGATAGTGAATGTTGCTGACTTTGTTGATGACTGAAACTGATGGCTGATGTGTTCTGATTATTGAAACTGATACTGAATGTTGCTGAAGTTTCTCATGATTGAACTGGTAGTGAAGAATCAGAACAGAAACTGATAGTGAATGTTGCTGACTTTGTTGATGACTGAAACTGATAGTGAATGTTGCTGAAGTTTCTCATAACTGAACTGGTAGTGAAGAATCAGAAACTGATAGTGAATGTTGCTGATTTTGTTTGCAGTAACTTTGTTGATGACTGAAACTGATGAACTGATGGCTGATGTGTTCTGATGATTGAAATGAAGTTTCTCATAACTGAACTTGGTAGTGAAGAATTAGAAACTGATAGTGAATGTGATACTGAAACTGTGATAACTGGAACTGGCACAGTGAACTGGAACTGGAACCAGGTTTCTCTGTTTGTGTTTGTTAATGCTATTTATGAATATGTGAAGCCAGTGTTGAGGAACTGGCTCTTTTCAGCTAAGTACCATCTCTTAATTCCCATCCTGTGCCTTGTGGCTTGTCAATATGATCAACCTAGTGTTTAAGCCTTCTGATCATTTCTCACTGAGACTTATAATGAAACTGGTGATCAGGTTACTTACTAAATTCTCACAATTTCACTGTGAAATTTTACCTGCTCATAGTAAATGGATAGAGAAGAAAGCAGCCAATTATTTAAAACGTATTGGTCCCTGGCTATATTTATTGTATTAGATAGTTGAAGCTTTTACCCCTTTAAAGTTATTGTATACAACTTCCTCCCACAGCTCATAATGGTCTGACATGAAATGGTTGGTGGTTGTATTTAGCTCTTGGGTGTTTGATGTTTCAGGTAGTTAAACGAAGTCCAGTGCCAGAGTTATCGCAAATTCAATAAAAAATCTCTGGGAAAAAGGCCATATTGATATTCCGAGATCCAATCCAAGTTCCGGGTGAAGCTCTAAATGCTCTAAATAGGGAATTTCCTTCATTCTTATTATTTTTTTATTTTTTTACATGGATTGTAAAAATAATCACATAAATACTTGTTAGGTAAGAATTAAGAAATCGAAATATCAATTTTCTTTTAAAATCAAAACGAGAAATGATAAGAGTTGGGTTGGTCCCTCTCTTGCATTTGGAAATAGCTTGGTAGTGTAACGTATAAGAAAGTTTAATAGAGATGAGATGATAAGAGTCTCACGTTGAGGACTATATTGATGTTTGCATGATAAATTAGTTTCTTACCATTTAAGGAAATTGATCCGTATTTTTGGAAGCTATATATAGGGGTGGGAAAAAAAGTTCGGAAACCGAACTGAAAAAGTGGTTTTTTCGGAACCGATTCGAAATAATGGTTGAATCAAATTTTCGGTTTGGTTNTTGAACTGGTTTTGAATGACTACGGGAAAGTCATAGTAAAACTCTGGATAAAGCCATGGAATTGAAGGAAGTTCTTCACATGAATGGAGGAGAAGGCGAAACAAGTTATGCCAACAATTCTTTGATCCAAGTCTCTCTCTCTCTCACTCACACAATTTATATCAGAAATTTTTGTACTATTTTCTCTAGTTGAGATAACCATTGATTAATTGTTCCTCTCATTTTGTTTTTTAAGAAAGAAGCTATGTTAATACCTTTCGTCTATCATCCACTGCTCCAGGCCGACTTCCGTCGCTGCTCCATTCTCATCGTCCTCCTCCTCAGTCGTCATCGTCCTACTCTACTTCTCCTTAGCTTCACCTTCCTCTTCAGGTACGATTTTCGCTTTTTTGATTATTTATTTGAATGTTTTAGTTTCTGTTTAGTTGCTGAGAAAATTAAAGGACGTTAAAGAAAGTTTGAGATTTTTTATGACGTAATTTTTGCAGAGGTGTTTGGACAGTGTTTATTTTGTTATTGGATAGTAATTTTTGGATTTTACAGATCTGATTCGGTGGTTTTGGTTTGTACTTTCTGTTTGGTTGACAAGAAAGTGCAGGAAAATGCAAAATAAAATAAAATTTGAGTTTGATACTGTAATTTGTACCAAGGAGTTTGAAGAGTGTTGCTTTCTTAATTGAATTGAAATTTTTGGATATCTGTCGATTGAGGAATGTTTGATTGCGATGAATGAGGCGGGGATTTTTCCCTTAGTCTGCGATTGGACGGGGACGGGGACGTCGTTTCCGCGCGGGGCGGGGACTGAGATTCCCCATCATCATCCCCGTAGTGGGGTCGGGGAATGGTGACGGGACAGGGTATGGGAAGTCAGGCCCCACCCCCTTGTCATCCCAGTTAGCACTGATGTAGGAAAATCTTGAATATTTTAATAGTACTAGAATTTTAATTCATTATTTTAGTATTAAAAAAACTCGAACTAAGCAGACATTATCTTGGATATTTTATTTATTTTTCCAAGTAGAATTATGATTAACCCACTATAAATATGGTTGTTATGTTTCAAGTTATTCAATAAGCTCTCTAATAAAATCTCTTATTCCTTTTTTCTTTTACGTTACTTTGGGAGATCATCACTCACCACCATACTGAAAAGAAACATGCTCTTCAGTACTACTACCACCCAGATGCCATCTATCAAGACTATAGTTTCTGTTGCCGCCTCAGCAGCTGTCGCGGCGATGTTTGTTCTGACACTTGCATGGGTCGGGAATTTATAGACAGTTTTATGTAACGTAAAAGAAAAAAGGAATAAGAGAAATTATTTGATTATGCTAATATATGGGTAACCATTAAATCACAGCGTATTCTTCTGTTATTCAAAACTTATACTGCCTTGCAATAAAAGCCTCATTCATCAGTCATCTGTTGAAACTCTTCCTTGCTCATGTCATCTACGATGGATGAATTTTTCACCACTTTCTTCCCAGAAATATTGTTTTAAAACCCGACCTGTTGTGTCATGTGTGAGACCCGACAAGGTAACGGGGTCACGGCCCAAGTTTTGAAACAATGCTTATACAATTTGCGTACTTCTCCAAATGCAACCTTTTAATTTGGAGTATGTGAAGCAATGTAAGTGATTGACTTCGATAGTGATTATATTTATAAATACCAATAATCAAAGAAAGTGACAACACACTTAGAAAACCAGAGTATGACAAATTTTTAAACTAAGATTATTGAAACAAATTCAAAGCATAATTATCCATGACAAGAGATCAGTTATCCAACATCCAAATCTCTTTCAAGAAGGGCATAATCGAGAAAAGCTGCAATACAAACAGCGATAGCAGATAGCTTCCAAGAACAAAGGAAAAATCAAGTCTGGAATAGCACGAAAATACAGGGACCCTAAATCACCTTAGAACCACCAAATCTATGAGGAACTAAAGGATTCTCACTGCAAATGCAATACCTTTAAAATAAAAAATAAAAAATAAAAAATAAATAAGTAAATGAAAGAAAAAAAAGTGTACCCAACTCACAAAGTTTTTATTTCAATGTGCGTATAAAACCCCGCATCAATATATATGGCTCCACCAGCTGTGCCTGAAACATAATAGACAAAGATAAAACCTCATCTTCGAAATTCCCAGAATAGAAGACTATTTTAAGAACAAATTCAAGTAAATATATTATGAGATGGCCAATTAAGATATTTTCTTATGAGATGTACCCACAAATAACGAACAGAGAATCCGAATTTTAATATTGCAATGCAGTCATGCATGCCAACAACTTCATGGTCTCGAAATCGATTGACCAGAGGAACTTAATGGAGGCTAGGAAAATTAGATGAGATACAGTGAATCACTGAAGAAATGGAGAATCATGTACTTGCCACAAAATTTGGCAATTATTTGTAAACTTAATTGCAAACTCATCATAAGCAAAGAATCAATAATCAATTCATGTTTCTATGCCCTAATTTACACAAATATAAAGTTTAGGATCTTGAAACTTGATGAACTTTCACATATATATAAATATAAAAGAAATACATACTTGATTCCATAGTTTGAAGATTAAAAACTTGAATCTTGATTGAATAAAAAAATAGGCAGTGTTTCTCTCCCTTTCTTCCTTTCTATAATTGCAAAACCTCTTTGATGGAAAGAGAAAAATTTTAACATCTTGGAATAGAGAGAGGACCCACCTTTTATATTGTGCAGTTATTTAATTAACTTCAAACATCACACCTTTCCATCAAGGTTAAAGACCAATATGCCCTTCAATTAAATTAATTATTACTAAAACTTATATTATTTTTAATTCACATGGACTATTTTATAAGTATTATAAATAATTCTAACATTCTCCCACTTGGTCCATGTGTCATAAAAAATAAAACTTTACAGCTTAGTAATTAAACATAATGTGTACACAATAATAAATAATAAATGTCATATCTTAAATGGTCAATATATAAACATTATAGAGTAGGAACCTAGAAGGATCATGGCGGTCATATGTTATTAAATCAACATATTCCCTTCCATGTATCACTTTACAAATTCTATACTCAAAACAATCTATAATAATTCTTAATGGTCCAACAATTAATGCCCTTATCAAGGACAAATTCTGTCATCTTTATCATTCATGTATACAAAACAACATAATATAAAANATCAACAACAGTATTTGAAGTATATATGTATACAAAACAACTCACGTCACTCACCCCAGTTTGCAATTAGGACGAAGATGAGGAAGAGTGCAAAAAACTGGATAGATTTAACAGTCTTAGCCATGATCTTGCCTATTATCTTGCTTCTGTTTGAATTGGGGATGGGTGAACGTGGGTCTTTTGATAGTAGAAGTTTTGGTTTTTTCCATGCTCAAAGTTGACAAGATGATATTATCACAACCTTATCAAGAAGAGTAATATTATACTTAAAAAACTTTATACAATGTTATATATATAAAGTGTTGTTAGGTGCTCTCCAGTTATATATTACGTGCTTCTAAGATGTATTGTTTATTTTAGGTTATAGGTTGAACTGTAGGTAGATAAATTCACATAATTTTATCTTGAAAATGCGTCTCTAAGTGATAGAGAGTATTTTTATGTTATACAAGAAATTAAGATTTTCATCCCCTAATGGATATAAAGAGTTTGACATCAACATAAAGTAATATATTAATTTTTTATATTAATTCTTCAAATCATAATGTAGTTTATTGGAAGACAACTGTACACAAGTTGATAAATGTAGTATTATTTTATTAAAAAAATGCAACTGGATATCTTTTTATATTGTTTTTGTCGTGAAAGAAGATAAGCCACAAAAAAAGACTTTCACATGGCATAGCCTATGGCTGCCATGCATGTGGCCATTAGTAAAAAGATTTATCCACAATTCATAAATTAGTCAACAATTATAGGCCGATCGATCAGAGTCTCAGCTTTAAATGATTTCATTTGTTGAATGTTATATACACGATCAGATACTTTGGACGCTGGCCAGCTAACAGATAAAGGAAGGGAAGTTTGGATATTTTTAACAATAATGCGGTGGACACCCAATTTTTGTACCGAATTTTTTTATCCAACGACATGAGATCTAGTCAGATGTAGATATATATTGGACAGAAAATATATCTCTCATGATTGAACAATCACAGACGAGCGTCCATATTTTATAGAAGATCGTTCATCACAAATATGAGTTAAATTACTATAGATGATCATCCTTTGCATATGGATAGTTATATGGATATTCGTCTGTATTAGATAGACGAACGTCAATCATTTTAGTTTTAAATTTTTTTGAACGAGAGTCTATCTTATATAAACATTTATCCATAATAAATATATACTTATTTATATAATATAAACGATAATTTATTGATATTTTTATAAATAATTATCTATTAGACGATTATATTTGATTATCAGACCGCTGTCCATTCATAGAAGATGTATTTCCTATCTAATGTGTTTATATCTGACTAATCGGTGTAAAAAATCAGTGTCGCTGGCATTATTCTATTTTTAAGCAGTAACGTCCAAACTTTCCCGTGAGTGGGTGCCATTGTTCTGCGCTGGTACAACCCTTTTGCGAGTTTTCTACGAATCGGGTTCCGAATAGATGTGGGTTTCATTTTTTGGACAGATCGAAACCATACAATTTAGTCAAAAAATGGTGCTCAAGCTATACTAGAGTCGTCACATCAATTTTACATCTTCAAATTAATATCAAGATTTGGACAGATCAACACCATTTCATGCATACATTTACACGTATCAGGTTTTGCAGAAGCAGCTGGCCTGTCTGCCTTCCTATCGGAATTTCAGAAATTTTTGTGTCGTTCTATGAGTTAATAACTTAATATAGATACATGTTACGTTTTTTTTTTTTTTTATATTGCGACATTGAACTCCATATTATGTTCTTTTTAACAATTTGTTCCCATCCAGTTTGTTCCTTGTGACTTTTTTTCTCGGCTCTTTCTGTGTAGGCTCTTAGGGTCTGTTAAGGTTGTCTCTTGTTTTGTTGATATGGTTGGAATACTGGGTGGTTCTTAATGCAGCAGCAGCCAACAACTGTATTTATTTATTTATTTTTTTTGTTATTGGGTGTTCGAGCTAGTTTACACACATATTAGTCCTTTAACCCTAAACAAGGTTTCCAAAACAGACAAGTCCTACAATCCATGATTGATCATATTAACAACCGTTTTTCGGCTAGTCCTTTAACCCCAATAAAGGTTTACGAAAGAGGGTAAGTCTTACGGTTCATGATCAATAATAGTAGTAATTGTTGTTATGATTCGAATCTGAGACTACAAGGAGTAATGGGACCTAAGCCTTTACCAATCGGCCAACCCAACCCATTATTGGTTGCGTATGGTTTTTTTTTTGTTTCTGCAGCAGCCGAGGATGTTCTTCTTGTCCGTTTGGCTAGCTGCTCCGTTTTGCGCNAAACTTGATGATATCACTGTATACGAACTTTATTTTTTCTTATAAATAAGATTTAGAATAATTAAATTGTTTATTTTATAATATTTTTAATGTATACCTTCTAGGCCAGGATTCGTTTTGCATTTTTTTTTTTTTTTTTTTGGTATTCAGGGGTGTCCGGGTCAACTTGCCTGCATCTTAATTAATCTCTCGGGACCCTGAAGTTAACAGTCAAGTAAGCTTCCAACGGTTACTCCTTATTAGTAATCGTGAGAATTCGAACTCAAAACCTCTTGAATAATACATCAAAAGTCTCAAACGAACTGTTAAGCTATCTACAAATAGTTGTTTTGCATGCAAATAGTTGTGACTGTGAGAGTACTTGTGGATAAAATCATAAAAGAATTACCAGGATTCTGCATTGAATGAATTTCACACCAAGAAAATATGTATGATTTTCTGTCGTGTAAAATACTTGACCTCTTGTTTGGACCTTTTCAATCTGCCATATTATGCACCAGTTGTTGAAGAAGTTAAGCAGATGATTAGAACAGAAGGGTCTTTTAGCATCCGAAAATTCGAGGTTTTTAAAGTGGATTGGGATGCAAATGCGAATATATATAGAAGATGGCAATAAAGAGAAAACTGAAAAACAAACAAGAGGCAGGTATGTTGCAATGAGCGTAAGAGTAGTTGCAAAATCCATTTTTACCACTCACTTTGGGAAGGAGGTGATTGATGATTTGCTCGAGAGGTTTGCCAAGAAGATAAGAAGAGCACTTGGAGGTGTACAAAATGTTGGAGTTGTCGACTACTTCAGCATTAATGGGTAACACAGATGCACTCGGGAGTCCCGCTGCCTGGTCAGCATGCAACCCCCTTGAGCCCGTAGGTGGTTTTGGGCTTTTCCATGTATAACCGCTGTAGGATTTCTTTTAAGTTACTAATTCCTTATTGGGTTGGGCTTAGGAATAGAAATCCTTGTAAAACTAGGTTTAGTCCCTTAAACTTAGTATATAAACATACTTTTCTCTTGTTATGGTGGGATAACAAATCATAGGGCAATTCATTCATTGTAAACAAGAGAGGTGAGACATATTGCAATAATATTGACTCAGCTAGATGTAGCCCACATAAGGTGAACCAGGGTAAATCACACGTGTTATTTTTATTGTTTACTGTTTGATTTATTTTACTGTTATATTTTGTCTTGTTGTTGCCTCTCTTTCGTTCACAAAAGAGAGCATGCACATATATATGGTGGTTTCCCTTACTAAGACCATGCAATGAAATACAAATATAATCTGAAAGACAACATAAGTCAATTAATGGAAATAGGTACTGATTATATTTAATCAAGAGTAAACGACTTTTTCCCACCCAAGTTTTGCCTTAATGACTGCGCGTTCTACAAATCGCTCGATTGTTAATGATTAATGGGGTTGGTGGAAATAAGGTTTGAAAGGTTTTGGTAAGTGATAATCAGGAAAAAGAATGGTGGTGGTTTGAGGTAGTAAATATGTTAGAATTGGCCAATGACTAGTCGGAATATAAATTTTGGATGAAAAAGTGGGTATTTTGAAACTTTTTTATTGGGAAAAATCATTAAGGCAAACCTTGGTAGGAAAAAGTCGTTTACTAATTTCTATTCATTAACCACACAAGTAAAAAGATCCCTTTTTAAGTCTTTATAAATTATGACCCTAGAGCGATGACCCAAAGGTCAATATGACAACGGGATATCCAATAACTAGAAAAATTTCCACAAAGTCAGTCGAGAAAAAAGTAACCTCACTCTCTAGAATTGAGGGTGGATTGCACCATTCAACCATAAATAACCGACATATAGTTGTGTAATCACGCGCCATCTTACAGTTTCAGTTCAAGAAGAACTCTAATTGTCATCTACCTTCTCATTTGCTCTTTCACTGCCACCACTGTAACCCAGAAAACATTTTTCTCAAAAACCAAACCACCAAACAGAAAAGAATCATGTTCTTCGCTACGACTACCACCCAAATGCCATCTACCAAGACTATAGTTTCTGTTGCCGCCTCGGCAGCTGGCACGGCGATGCTTGTTCGGAAACTTGCACGTGACTATTTGCCTCACGAGGTACGAGATTACTTGTTCTTCAAAGTTAGAGATTTCATTGCACGTTTCTCTAATGAGTTAACTTTAGTCATTGAAGACTCTAGTGGCTTCCATCGAAACAAACTCTTTAAAGCGGCGAAGTTTTATCTTGAATCGAAAATTCCCCCTCATGTGAGAAGAATCAAAATCAACCTGCCAAGAAAGGAAACCAAAATTTCACTCTCAGTGGACAAGAACGACGAGATTGTTGATAAATTTAATGGGGTCCATTTGACATGGAGATTTAGATCAAAACAAGCCCCATCAAAGGTTGTCCGCGACCCACTCCATTACGGCCCTACGGTTCAAAATGAAGTCAAGTTTTTTGAGTTGAGTTTTCACAAGAAACATAAAGATATGATCTTGGAGAATTATATTCCTCATATTTTGAAGAAATCTACGGAAATAATCGAGGAAAATAAGACTTTGAAGCTTCATACTTTGAAACTTGATCGGATGCATGGAAGGGATGTGTGGCAATCAGTGAATCTTGACCATCCAGCAACTTTTGATACTCTGGCAATGGACTTGGATATAAAGAAAAGGATAATGGAGGATCTAGAGAGATTTGTGAGGAGGAAAGAGTTTTACAAGAGAGTGGGGAAGGCATGGAAAAGAGGATACTTGTTGTTTGGTCCTCCTGGTACTGGGAAATCAAGCTTGATTGCCGCAATGGCAAATTATCTCAAGTTTGACATCTATGACTTGGAGTTGACCAGTCTTATGGGGAATAGTGACTTAAGGAAGCTGTTAATTACCACGGAGAATAAGTCCATCCTCGTTGTAGAGGACATTGATTATTCATTTAGCCTTGCAGAGGCAAGGGCTACTTCAACAAATTCGGTAACGAATCCTAATCACCCTCGACATGGATTTAATCTAGTAAATCAGGTAATATTATTGCTATCTGTTCCTTTGTTCAAGTTAATGTTTCTTTAGTATGATGTCTCTTGGTTGACCTGTTGGTAAATTTAACTCAGCAATGTTCAAATTCGTGTTTTTATTGCAGTTGTAACGAAATAGAGTGCCATTTTATATTGCGAGTCACAAACTTTGTTGTCTAGACTTTCTGTATTTCTATTGAGAGTTTTGTAATAAATTCAGAAAATTTCACATTGGGGTACTCGGAAGGAGTTTGGGGGAAAACATGTCTGGCTCATACAAGACATGCCATTGGGAAATAGTACTCAATCAATTCAGAACTTAAAGCTCTTTTACTTACTGATATTTGATATTTCTACTTTCAAACAAGAGTATAGCTTATAGCCTTTGTGCGAGCACATACATTTTACAAGGGGAATCATCTGTCAAGCATCAGTTCTCAAGCGAGATAGTCACTTACTCAACCTACAGATGTGAATATGGTTGTACCAGCAAAAGGCCTCTATGGCCATTCTTATAGATAGATGTTGTACATTCTTAGTTCACATTTATTTTTTATTGGTTTCAGGCGTATCTTATCTTGAAACCTAAGCTTACTTGATGCAATGTCCAATTTTGTGTTGCGATCACAAAACTTGGTGTGAAGAATTCCTCTATTTTGAAAAGTTTACAGTAACTTTGGAAAGTTTTACTGGCCGAGAGAGGTTTTTTGCCCGGTAGTTAGGGTATCAACATGACTAGTTTATATAGGACAGATCATTTAGAAGGAAATGGTATTTGAGTTCTGATCAGTGATAAGCCAATAAATTGAATATTTGTTTGACTTATTGATATAGATTATAACCTTTTGTGAACGTATGAGTGATACTTTATCAAATAATTGGTGGGCTAGTAAAGTGATACTCTTAGGCTATTCTTATAAATAGATGTTATACAATCATAATATGTTCGCATCATTTTTTTTTTTAAACAGTATCAGGTGACATTATCAGGACTACTAAATTTCCTAGATGGATTGTGGTCAAGCTGTGGAGATGAGAGGATCATAGTGTTCACAACCAATCACAAACACAAACTTGACCCTGCATTGTTGCGCCCTGGTCGCATGGATGTGCATGTCCACATGTCCTATTGCACTCCATTTGCATTCAAAATTCTGGCCTCCAATTACCTTGGCACCACACAGCATCCACTTTTCATAGAGATTGAAGAACTGATAGCGGAAACCAAGGTGACTCCAGCAGACATCGCAGAGCAGCTGATGAAGGATGAGGATGCTGAAAATGTGCTCAGAGGCCTTATTGAGTTTCTTGAAAATAAGAGGAGAGAAAATGATGAAAGTAAAGCCAGTGAAGCTGAAAAGGTGGCAATAGAAGAAGAAGGTAAGCAACA